GGGGGGGGGGGGTGCGGAAATCAAGATGGGGTTCATGTCTGGCTACAGCAGGTTATTTCACAATCGAACAGTGTTATCTTCAGTCTATCTTTGCAGTTCCTACTGGGGTGAGAGCAGCAAGCAGCCTGTGGAAAGGGGCAAGCAAGCTGTGCATGCTGTTATCCACGGCGTGGAACAGCTGTTGTATCCACGTGCATTTGGTTGTTAATCTGACCGACTGGTGTGATCCAAGCTCTCCATTGGGCTTGGGAGAGTGAGAGGGGAACTTGTGACTGACTTGCTCCCTGAGGTGGAGGTAGGAGGGACCCACACGGTTTGGCTGAGATGAAGCAGGATGATTTTCATTGTTGTCTCAGCAATGCAGTCAGCTTCCTTATGAATGCAGAATAATATTTTAAGCCACTATCACCAGGCAGGAAAATACCCACCCAGGAGTTCACTTGGGCAGGCATGAATGGGATGGTTTGGCAGGTCTTTCTCCTTTCTCCAGCCTGGTGGTGGAGGACTCTGGGATGCTCCTTGTCTTTGTGCATTTCTTGGGGGAGTTCAGAAGTGAGATTTCACCATCAAGTGGCAGCTTATTCTGCCTCTGCCAGGCTCAGCAGTTCCTGTGGGTAAACGCTCAGTGCTCCATGGAAAGTGGGAGAAATAGAGAAGAGATGGTGATCTGTGCCTTGGAAGACAGGAAATGATTTAAAAGACAAGCTACTCTGATCACTTTGAAATCTGAAATCAGCAACTGGAATTTTTCAAACCCCTCTGTTATTGAAGGACAAATCTCACTGTAATGTTTGAAGCAGGCGATTGTCATGTATTTTAAGGGATGTCCCTTATTTGGTGCCTATCATTTGTCTTGTATGAATTATATAAAGGACACACTTTGTCCCATGTTTTCAGTAGCAGTCATGCAGATGACTCTGACTGTGAGATGTATCCATGCATTTTTGCCACATATAGAACAGTGTGTGGCAGCTTCATTCGGGAGTTTTCATGTACTCATGCTTTGTTCCCTTTAAATAGAAGTGGTTGCCCGAGTTTGGGGAAATGTATGAATTGGTGTTTAAGGGAAGGCTGTTTAAGAATTTAAGAGAACCCAGAGTTTTGGCCTAAATGTTTGCAAAATGTCATATGAATAACTTGTTACCTTGTAATTAATGAGAAATTTCCCTGCATGCTTTATACATTCTGTTGCAGTGTTTCTAACCTAAACTGTAGCACTGTGACAACTGGAGAGAGTGAAACTGACTACAGGTTGAACCTCTCTAGTCCAGCACCCTCAGGACCTGACTAGTACCAAACCAGAGAATTTGCTGAACCATAGGAGGTCAATATTGTCTAGCAGCATTACCGACACTTTCGCTGCTTCCTGGGCTCTTAGAAGACATTATACTGGGAAATTAGAGCTAAGCAACAGCACAAAGCACTGAGAGCCAGGACTGGTGGCTATAAACAAACCTTATGGGACTGCACGAAACTCGGTCACACCCACGATAAGTGAACATCCAGCTCACTAAAATCATGCCGGACCATGGATGTTGCCGGATCAGAGCGTGTTGGTGTCCAAACTTTTTTCAAAGAGGGCCAGATTTGATGAAGTGAACATGCGTGAGGGCCGACCATTTTGCCTGACATTCTTTGAACCATTAAAATTAAATGCAAATTAACTATTTTATGCAAAGTTTATTGCAAACGGCATACTTTTCATTTCGTCACATGGATGACAAATCTAAACAGGTGTTAAATCACTCTGCCTTTCATATCTGAAGGCCAGATGAAAAAAAAATCCAGGAAGCTGAAATATATGTCAGGAACATTGTAAAGTACATTACATATTATTGGTAATAAAGGTTGTCTGTCAACTTTTAAGTTCAAAAAATATGAACAGGAACATAACACCAAGTATACATGTTGTGTCCAAATATATTTATAACTGATTTAGACCAACTGACATTAACTGAGATTTTACAATGTATTCATCTCAATACATATGGATTCGTTGGGGGCCATAAAAAATAGATATTGCCAAATTACCTGTGGGCCGTATTAAACCGGAACACGGGCCGCAATTGGCCCGCGGGCCGGACTTTGGACATGCCTGGACTAGAGAGTAGTAATAAAAGTGGCACTGTCTGCCACTATTCAGGCTGAGAGACCCATCAGCATCGTGAATAGAAAGAGAACTAGATTTCATTGATGTCTGCTTTCTTAGGGTATGTTTATGCTACACCGCTTTTGTCGACACAACCACGTCACTTGGATCTTGTCTACACTGGCAGGTTTTGTTGCCAAAACCTGCCTTTTGGCAACCAAACAGGGAAAGCATTTATACTACAATGTGACTTTTGTTGGATAAAACACTCAGTTTTGGCAACAAAAACTTCCACCCCTGCAAGAGATTTTTGTCTTTTCCCCTCCCTTTATTGTTGACAAAGAGTCAATATGTACTAAGGATGGTAAGAGGTGAGTTATTCGATAATTGTGTAGTCAACAGAATTTGTATTGACTACACGATTAATCGATACGGGAAGAAGTGCTCAGTCCTGGCTCGCACCAGGTCTGGGAACTACCCCCCCTGCGGCTCTGCTGTTTAAATGTGGTAAAAGCTGGGTAGGCAGGCAGGCAACCCGACTCCTACTACATTTAAACTGCAGAGCTGCAGTGGTCATATATTCCAGACCCGATGCGACCCAAGACTGAGCTGGGCTGCCTTCCTGGCTAGAGCAGCCTCTGTCTGCGGGGGCCTAGGCTGGCCACAGATAGAGGCTACTTTGGCAGCACCCCCTGTCTGCAGGAGGTCCCAGTGAAGAAATGGGACCTCCTGTGGACAGGGGCTGCTGCTGGAGCAGCCTCTGCCCGCAGCCAGCCTGGGCTGCTGCAGACAGGAGCTGCTTTGTGACAGCTTCTCCCGGCCACGCTGCTGCCTCTAATACCTGCTTTTAATCTGGCTCCCCCCAGCACTGGCTCCTGTCCCCCCCACCTTTGCTTCCTCTGATAGAGAGGCAGCAAAGTGTGTGTGAGGGAATGTGAGTAGTTGACTCAGCTAACTGATTAGATTAGGCTTATCAATTAGTAGACTACTTGCTTACATCCCTAGTGTGGACTCTTCTGGTTTTTTTGTGGGGAGAACTGGCTTCCGCTGGTATCCCACAGTGCCTGCCCTGAAGGCTCTGCTCAGTGTCTTGTGATCTTTGCTGCCCTGCAGGCATGCACACCTTCCCTTTCAAAGCATTGGGAAGTATCTGGCAGCTGAGTGAGCTGCTCTGTTTGGGGAACAAACAAAAAACAAATCACTGGAATGCTACTGTTCGGCTGTTGCAGGGGAAGGGCTGGAGAGACCGCTGTGCTGTTTTGACATTCATCAGCCGGGAGAGCTCACAGAGCTATGAGGGAATCCCAAGAAGCGCAGGGATCAGCTCTTCCTTCCCACAACACTGCACTGTGGGATGCTCAATGGGGAGCTAGCAAGGTGGCCATGAAATGTCGACAGTGGGAGGCAAAAAAATGGTTTTCATCGGTTTTCACTTTTGGTGACTTTTGCATATTGATAGCCCTTTTGTCACCAAACCTTCCCAGTGTAGACATAGTCAACAATTCAGGCATTGTAAACACTCTGTGTCTGCCCTTTTGCTGACATAAAATTCCCACCCCCTTGCCAAGGCTTTTGTCGTGGAGGGGCGTGTGTTCAAATACCTGTGAATAACTAAAGCTTTTTTGCTCAATTTCCAGTGTAGACAAAGCCTTTTTGAGTGCTGTATCGCAGGGGAAAATATTTCTTGCTCGGACTCAAGTCATGTAACAGCAGAGAATGGCTCGGGGGACAGGATTTGAATCTAGAACTTAGATCTGCCTCTCCCTGCGATCACAGGAGGTAGATGTGCCATAGAAGTTCACAATATTCACCACTTTTCTGGGGGAGAGGCAGACTCTGGCTGCCCAGCTGCTGGAGGATGAGAGCCCAAGTGCCATGTGGGAAGTCTCAGGGGCTCTTAATTCTGACGGAGGGGCGGGGACCTGCACATATGACCATTTGGGGAATGTGATTGCTACAGGAGGAGTGATGATAATACCAATACAAGAGTTGTGCTCTGTCCACAGCAGCTGTCTTTGGGGGTTGCTGGGGAATGGGGAGCAAGGATTTCATAAAGGCAGGAGGTAAAAGCCTTCTCCTCTCCCACACTGCAGAAGCCTTGAATCTGTGTAGCATGGTTGACGGGCGTGGCATAGCCCACTGTGTGTGTGATACAGACGGGGGGGGGGGGGGCTGGGGAGACAGACGGGGGGGGGGGGAGGCCAGCCCTGGAAAATGGGAGTCGAAACAGTGCTCTAGTTCCAGCTGTCAGGACAGTCCGCACCCGCACAGATGGGTCTCCCATGCTGAGCTCACACCTTTGTCCAGGGCTGCTGTGGGTTAGTTAATCCACCTCCTTGCAGCTGTGTTGATGGGAGAGCTCCACCCATAGCACTGTCTACACTGGGGGGTTAAGTTGGTTTATCAGTGTCGCTTAGGGGTGTGGATTTTTCACACCCCTGCTCAATAAATCTGTAGCATAGACCTGAACTCCAGTGGAGCCCAGTACAGTTCCTCTCCCCGGAGGCAGTCAGAGTGGGAAGGAAGCTGCCATTCTCCTCTGAAAGAGCCAGGGTCCTGGGGAGCAGGGACAGACGCTGCGTGCGCGGGACTGCCAATGCTGCGCTAACAGCACTCTCTCTCCTTCTGCGTTTCAGAAACTTCAACATCCTCAGTAAGGAAAACGTCTATGAGAACAACCACTTGGTAAGTGACGTTTGCGGTTCTGCTCTCTGCTGGTAGCCAGGCCGTGCTATGCCTGGGGCAGCCAGTTTCCACTGTGTGCTCGGCATGGAGTGAGCCACAGTTTACCAGTGGTGACTCCGTGAATGGCGCATGTTAAAACATCGCATGCTCAAACCCGCTGGCTTGTTCTACGGGCAGCTGATGGGGTGACTCATAGTACAATAGCAGCCCAACTTCCCCTGCTATTGTACAGCACCCAGCCCTTCAGCTTTCTTACCTGGGTGAGTGCTGTCACCTTTGTTTAGACAGGCATCCCCAGACAGGGGCTTTCTCGATTGCTCCATCTTCACTGGCTTCTCAGTTGGAGAGGAGGGGGAGAGTTCTCTTGTGGAGTAAGCAGAGATGAAAGGCACATTGGAAGGGGCATGCGGTGGTCAGCTCTCAGCAGTTGAAGTGCTCATGGACACTATAGCACAGAGTAGAGGCAGAGGCTTGTGTGTGAGAGAGAGTGAGGGCAGCATGTTGCTGCTCCAAGAATCGGGCACCAGGGCTAGCCGCCTGCCCTGGGCCATGTAGGACTCCTCTCTTGTAACCAGTGCACACTCTCATTTTTTTTCCATCCATGTGCAGAATAAATTGTATGTGCACCAAGGCATGGGTGGATGTGCACCACCATAAAAACGCTGTGGTACGCTGTGCTACTCAGCTGGGTGGCATTTGACTCTCTCCTGGGTGGCTGCCCAAGTGCTCAGCTTCCCGGAAACACTGCTTGTAACCCTCACCCGGTCCAGCCCGTGCTCCGGCTCCAAGCAGAGAACAGCCATGCTACTGTGGGGCTTCGGAGGAGGTGCTGCAGGGTGAATGCTGAGATGGGGAGCGGTTTGGGAGCTGAAAACTAAGGGGATGACTGAGCTCTCCTCTACCATCCTCAATAAAGGTATTGGGAGGAGTGCTCCGTTCCTGTCGTCTCTGGGAGCTCCCCCGGCAATTGTCTGGGACAGGCTTTGGGGGGCGGTGTGCTCTGTGTACCGAAGGAGCAGGCCCACGTTTCCCCATTGCCCCTGATGTGGCCATGGACTCCTTGCGGGGTGCCAGAATGTAGATGCTGCCTTGCCCTCTGCCTGCCTGAGCAGGGAGACCGCAGGGAGCCAGGGCAGGAGGGCGGGGGGTTGGAGGAGGGAGAAACCTCCAGGAAAGAGATGCATTAATGCACTGGCTGTGTGCTGCTTTCAAGAGATCAAAAGGGGACTGGTGGATAGCGTGAGGCACAAGGAAGGGGCCTCTGGCTTTATCCTGCCACCCCCACACCCTGCAGAGTTAAGTGTTGAGAGAAGGTGTCCCTCTTGGATTTGCTGCTGCAGCTTGGGGACAGGGCAGACTCGGGCGGCGGTTTCCTTCCTTCCTCCATGAAGAGATAGAGCTCAGATCACCCACCCGCTCCCTGGGCTGGCTCCACAAACCTAGCGTGGGACGAGTCCTTGAAGAAAGGAATTTTCCCTTCCTTCCTCTGTAAAAGATGGGCTGCCAATTCAGCTGCTGTTCCCTTCCGGGCTGGCAGCGGCCCATGCTCGCTTCACATCAAACTGCCATTCCAGATGGGCCTGGGTGGTCGGGGTGTGGGACTCAGCAAGGCTGCTGCGAAGTTCTGGATGGCTGTTAGCTTCTTGTGGCTGGCGGCTTTGCTCCGGTCTTTCTTTCTGTGCAATGGGCCGCACAAGCTGCCTCGGTTGGTTTTATGAATGAAAATATCTGTGTGCCTCCTGTGTCCGTATTGTCTCTCCTCTCCGGTGCCAGCCCGTCGGTCTCCCCCTCTGTGTCTTTCTCCATATCTTGGCCTCTGTCCTCTTCATGTCCTTTGTTTTTCAGTCTCTTCTCCCCCCTTTTGCTGCTATAAGGAAGCCTGTCTCTGTGCTAATGGGACTCTGATGAGGGCAGCCCATGCCCCTCTGCACCACCCGACTGACGCTTTGTTGGCACTTGTGAATGCCTGTGGGACGTGTAGGGGAGTAACTGCTCCCACAGCTGTTCCTTCTGCTGTTGTTCAGTCCCTGCTGCTGCCTTGCTGCTCACAGGCTTCTTTGCTGGGGCTTTATTACACAACTGGAAAAATCTGTTCCAGGCTGAAACTTGCCATACAAGGTCTTGAGGCGAGGAAGAATGTGTCTTTCCCCAAATGCCAAAAAATAAACAGAGGCTGTTTGTGTTACTGGAAGGGAAACATGTAAATAAGGGGAAGATGTTTGTTCGTTTTCCTGCACTACTATTGGGAGGCAGTGTGGCCTAGTGGGCCAGAGTCAAATCACTTCATGGCTCTGTGCCTCAGTTTCTCCATCTCTAAAAGATTTTTCTCCCTCTCTGTAAAGCATGTTGAGACAATAGGAGCTGAGAGATTGGATGGGGTCAATTCCTACTGGCCGGTTCTTTCTGGCCAATAGGAGTTGAGGATTGGGCTGGGGCTGGGGAGATCACACAAAACCTCCCCCTCCCTCCTTCCAGAGCAGAGAGCCACTGGACTGAGCTTTAAATCTGCAGCAGCTGTGTGCCTGAGGGTCCCAGCAGAGAGAACTGTGGGCCAGATCCAGGCCCTGGGCCGTATTTTGCCCAGCCCTGAGTTAGACCCTGTCTTAAAGACTTTCATCCTTTGTTTCTGTTGAGGCCCTGTGTCTGCTCTCTGAAAAGCTAAGCTCCCATTGGGGTCTTTCCATTAAGAGGGGGATATTCCAACAGATAGGGTACATGAGCCAGGTCTGGAAGCCAGGAAGAATAATGGGCAGATAAGGTCCTTGGCAAAAGCTCTGTGGGGACGTAGAAAGACAGTAGGTGCAGGGATATTGCTCTTTTCTTTGGTCCCCTTAAGTGTCGTCCTCAGTGTTGGGAAAAAGAGTTGCTCAGAGTTTCTTTACTTCTGTCTGTCTAGCACTAGTACATGCTCTCCAGGGCTGCCCTAAGTACCTGGCTTGGTAGGCAGCACTGAAGTAGGTAACATGAATTAGAAATGCACGATTTGAACAGAGACTTGGGAACCAGGAAGTCTTTGAATCTAATATTGCTTCTGGCTCCGTTGGCGACCTTGGCCAAGTAGGTCCATTTAACTGCATTAACTCGCAGGGGGAGGACTTTGGGAAGCTGACTGTTGGCAGTGACTTTGGAGTGAAAAGCTCTGCATAAACACCAGGAGTTTGTTGACATGGCGAGTTAGAGCTTGGCACGCTAGGGTGTGAATCTACAACACACTAGCTTGCTGCGCGTTAACTTGCTGCGTAGGCAAGACCCGAGAACCACTGCTTCCCAAAACCCCTCTAAAGGGAGCATTAAGGGGAGGACTGAAACCTGCAAGCCAGGCCTGATGGTCCCACTCAACACGTCCAGCTCGGCCTTCTCCATTGGGCTGCAACCCCTCTTCTCTACAAAAGAGCATGTATCCATCTACCGAGAGCAACACCCTTCCAAGGAAGAGCAGGGGAAACCCAGCTGAGTTCCAGTGGAGTGAGCTGGCAGCAGCCTGTCATGGCTCAAAGTGGTGACTGTCAGAGTTCCCGTAAGGGCTATGTAATGTAGGAGCTGATCTAGTCCAGCTGTTCCTCTGTATAGCTCTGAGCCAGAGGAGTCTATGTGCTGTGGTGCTTCCTTACCTTGAGTCTCTTACTCCTGATGGCTGGCTGACTGCGCCAGTCACTGGGCGAGCACAAACCCCTTCCCTTCTGTTCCCACTGCAGGCATTTTTTGCTGGATGCTGAGGATATGGTGGCTCTGAAGGTGCCGGACAGGCTGAGCATCCTCACTTATGTCTCCCAGTATTATAACTATTTCCACGGACGGTCGCCAAGTGAGTAGCCCCTCCCTGGTGTGCCAGGTGCCCTGCACAGGGCGGAATTCTGCCTGGTCCTCCTACCGCTGCCCACCAGTCTGCAGTGGGGAAGTCGGCAACCTATAAGCAAATCAGAGAGTTGTTATGATCTCCTGTGTGCATGCATCCTGACCACCCCCCGCACACAAGACACAGGGGCTTGTGGTAAACATGGAGCCCAATGTTGTAAAATCCCATGTAATTGGTTAACCAGTTAAATGTGAATTTATTTAATATTTAACCGGCTAATTAATTAAGGAGAGACCGCTGTGCCCAGGCTGGAGCGGCCCTCACCCCCAGCCTATCCCAGACAGGCCCTGCTCTGAATGTCCAGAACAGCCACGAGGCGCTGGGCCTGTCATGGACAGGGGCTGCTCCAGACCCTGTCCATGGTGGGCCCTCTGGGTCTGGAGCAGCTCCCCCCGCCCCCCAGTTAACTGGTTAACCTTTCATATCCCTAGTGGAGAATGAAATGCCTGTTGACACTCCCAGGCAAAAAGCTACTGCAGAGGCTGAGTGTCCGTATGCTTCCACAGGTATAGGCTATCCCCATGTGAGCACAGTTATACCAGTATAATTGATCTGCACTAGGGCATTTGCCAACATGGCTGTGTCAGTGTAAAATCTCCCCCCGCGCTGGCATAGTTCCACAGTAAAACTTTTAAGTGTAAACTAGGCCCAAGGGCTTCAGAGATTATTACACTCGTATAACTGAATGCAAAATAAATACCATCAGTCAGGATTTACATGCACATTATGATAGATCTGGTTTGTATCTGGCTTTAAATGATACTATTACATGAAATAATACAACAAGCCAGACTGATGGGTTCTCTGAAGAATGTTTTGGAGAGGTGAGGCTTGGGGCCTGAATATAGAGGTCCAGTTACAGAACTGGGATCTGCATTGTAAACATGGTTGTTTTTTTCCAAACAGCTAAATGTTCTCTTGCCCTTTTTCCTCCTCGCCCTCCTGGTCTTGTCTCTTTAAATCCATGTCAAAAAGTGAAAGACAGCCAGACTCTGGAGCAATGTCCCCTCTAATTTTTTCTGTCCATGTGTGAATTTTTTCTGTCCCTGTGTAGAATAAATTTTTCTATGGGCACCGAGGTATGTGTGACTGTGCACCACCAGTAGGAACAAAAGATCTAGCTGTGGTGCTCTGCTAATCAGCTGGGCAGCATTTGAATCTCTCCTGAGCGCCTGCACGAGCGCAGAGCTTACAAGGAACACTGCTGTGGAGTGCTTGTGCTGAGTGGTGGGCTGTGTGCCAGTTTGGGGGTCTCTCCAGAGGGAGCTCGCCTACCACATCATTAAACACTCCACATTTTTGTACTCTCCAGCGTCCTACAAAATGTATGTTTGTGCTGAGAACATTGGGGTAAGTGTGTATGTCCAAGCCCACAGGCCTGCCAGGAATGCGCCCTCTGACCTGCAGCAGACTGTGAATTCCAGGGGCAGCGACCTTTTGCCCTCGACGTCCTGTTTATTGCATATTCCTGCTAGACACCACTCCTTCTCTGCAGCCCCGAAACCAGGGAATGGCTGATGTGTACTGAGGTTTTGCAGGACTGAAGCGTCCTTTGCTTGCACAGGGTTCTTGGAATGGCAAGTTGGAATCTAGACCTTTCACTGTGACCCTGCTGGTCCCTGCGGTGAAATTGCACTTGCTATTTGTTTGGATCGCTTTCCTGAGCCGCCTTTGGAGGAGGCAACTTTCATACAGCACCATGAATCACTCTCCCTTTCTCTTGCCCCATTCCCTCTCCTGAAGTATTTATAGCTCTTTTTTTGCAGATGGCTGTTCCTTCATTCGGCCGTTAAAACCAAAATTGCAGCTAGAATAATTCTTTGTCCCACAGAAAGCATGGTTCTTCCACCAATATGTGGCTAACATGGATGGTGGTGTGGAGGGAAAAGAACAGACCTGCAAGATGGACTAAATAACAGAGCCTCTCACATTGGGCCAGGGTCTGTTGTCATGACCGTACTGTAGAGCTAATAAAGGGCCATTCTCTCCCTGCCCTTTCCAGCGGCTGTCATGCAGTTGTGCCCTGTTCCTGATTGGACTCTGGGGACATTTGGTGATTCTTTTTCCCCCCAACTGTTTATTGCAACCTTAAGGAGTCCCTCCCACTCCCAAACCAGAGGAAACCTCGCTCATATCTATCACATGCATCCCAAGCCTTTTGAGTATTGAATCCTGTTTATTTCTGCATAGCTGCTCCTATGGTACCTCCCAGTTCTGTTCACACATACTCATGGAAAAGCCTACGAGACAAGATGGGCTAGTGATTAGGAGCCTACCTAACAACTTGTATGACCTAGGTTCAGATGCCTGCTCTGCCACAGATTTCCTGTGTAATATTGAGCAAGTCATTTAGCCTCTTTGGGCCTCAGTTGTCCTCCTGTACAATGGGGATACCAGCACTGCTCTGTCTTGTGAAGAGAAATACATTACAAATTGTGATGTGCTTAGATATTTAGTAGCAAGGGCTCTATAAGTACCCAACATAGATATGCTGAACTTGCCCAGCTTCGGGATGGGGTGTCTTTTTCACATTTCCTCCTTGGAATTTCCCAAGAGGAATGGCCTTTTTTAAGATGGTCCCAGCCTCTTTGAAGAAGGAGAGGATCAGCAGCTAGCACTGCCAGGCATACCCGCTGCTCCCCTGTTTACTCCCTTGTTGCATCTGACTGAATTGAGCTGAAAATTCCTTGTGGGGAAGCCCATGTCACCTTGTGTGTTTGTATAGTACCTAAGGGGGCCTTGTGGGGCCCTTCAGACATTATAGTGAAATACAGATCCCTTCCAGGCCTGTGTTTTTGGCTTATGCTCCCTTGTCCCTTTCTGCCAGTTGGAGGCCTGTCTGGAATCAAACGTCCCACTTCTGAATCCAGCGAGGAGCCACCCGGAAAAAAGGTCATTTCGGAACCCATCAAGCAGACCCCTGTGAAGCCATCACCAGCACATCCCCCGCCCACAGCCAAGACAGACCCAGCACGTCCGGGGCAGGATCTGCCCAAGGAGAATCCCCCGGTGACATCGGTAAGGAAAGAGGGTTCACTTACTCTGAGCCGGTTGGTCGGAGTGAGAGAAGCAGTCTGGGAGGCCTCCACGTGCTGGGGACGAATCATGACCCACTGTTGATCATTCACCAACTCTCCCATCATGGGATTAAACCCAGAGGCCCTACTTATGGCTGACGTGCTCCACGAGCTTGTGAGAGCGCATCTGCCTGGTTAACGTGATCCATCAGGTGGCAATTGGACGTGGGCCATTCCTTGCTTGTCTAGGGCCTGTGCGACCCCACTGGATAGATCCAGGCTCTGTGCGCTGATTTTAGATGCTCTTTGTGCTGGTGATTAAATTCACACCTGCTGCTGAGTCTCTCCCCATTCAGGATCAATGGTTGACCTGGATAAGCCCAGGGAGATGTGCGTGCCGTCTGGTGGCAAGAAGGGAGGAGCATAAAATATCTTAACTCTGGTATGATTCTGCCCCTAGGGCAACAATGAGCAACCCAGGCTAGTGAGTGGGCCTCCTTCATCTCAGCGGGGCACAAGATTGTGGTTACCAAGATGGTCTCCCAAGAGAGGGAAGTTTTGCTAGCTGAGCTTGTGCACTTAGAATTTGCAGGAGGTGCCGATTGAACTGTAGCAGCCTTTGGATGCAGAGGGAGCGCATGGCTCTCACAGTCACTGTTGCGTGCAATCAGCATGCACCTCACTTCATGCGTCCTTTACAGGTGTGTCACTTTAGTGATACTGTTAGGAAACAAAGGATGCGGGTGGAAACCAGAACAATCTGACAACTTTGCACATGGACGGAATGTCTTGTGGGCCCCGGACAGAACCCCAGTGAGTTCTGCCCTAGGGTAATGCTCTAAGTCCTAATATATTAATTTGTACCAAGAGTGGATGGTAGTGGCAAATGCTGCTGTCTATACAAGGGCAAACTTGGTGGGGATCCCAGGGCTTTCCAAAACAATGCCAAGCACTAGAATATGGTGGCATGGATCCTAATCGTGCTAATATTGCATGCAGCACTGCAATAGGTGTGCTAGTGACAGAGTGGTTTATAACCGTGAAGAGAGAGAGAATCCACCTCCTCTTAGCTTTTAACAGAGGAAGCAAAACAACCAAGTTCTTCATGGTGCAGCTCGTCCTTGATCTTGCGGGTGCGATTGTCATTAAAGGTCCTGGCTGGGGTGGTGGGTTTGTTAAATGGTGTCAGCATCACTAGGATCTTCACTCAGACCACGTGCCTCCCTTCATATTTGCATCCAACAGTGTTCACCTGGCAGTGGCTTCTGGCTGCTGTCAGTCTGGGCTGGATTTATTCCAGAGACCTTGTGCTACAAGGCTCCTTGTCCCATTGCAGGGCTTCTGAGCCAGCCAGTGTCGTCCCCCCCGCCTCACTGATAATTTTTCTCCAGCTTGGTTGCTGCTGTCGAATGTTCCAGGTTGGGCAGCCTGTGTGGGACAGATCCGGCTTTGTGCTGGAATGATGGCTCCCACCTCTGTTGTTGTTTTCTCTCTCCCAGAAAAGGGTCCTGACAGACAGTGGTAATATCCGCAGCAGCGGCTGTGCCATCTGTGGGAGTCATGTGCACCTGGTGCAGCGACACTTGGTCGATGGGAAGCTCTATCACAGAAACTGCTTCAGGTACAGTCGTAGGGAGGAGGGGGGGAGGGGAGGGAGGACCCTCTTTCTGGGCAGAAGAGCCTCTGTGCAGTGCTTGTCCTTGCCTCGCTGCCTGTTAACCTCCGTGACTTGCTGTGTTTCACCTGCAGTGAGCTTCTGGAGACTAGGATGGCTGCTGCTTGGACAATAAACAGGCTCTTCAGAGCCAGCTGGGTGGGGTATGCCTGACTCGGAGCATGAGGGAATGGACATTGCTCCTTGTTCAGCTGTTATGACACTGATGTGGTAAAACCATCCACATCTAGGGGACTTCCATTGCACTGGTTCGCTGTCCTCTGCACCTCTTGGCCAGGCGGTGATCTGCGCGGGTCACGCTGATTGATGTTTCAGAGTTTATGTGGGGGGGATGTCAGCATGGCACAGGGGAGATCTGGGGGGCAGCATGGCACACGCATGGCTCTCTTTGGCAGCCGTGGGGTTTTTATGCGGTGTTCCTTGCACTGACGGTTTGGCCCTTCCCAGTACTGCGTGTCCATGTCTCCTCTGTGATGTCCCTGTAATTGGCTGCTGCGTTCATCTTGGTGGCACCCAGCTCTCTGGAGAGTGTTTCCTAATAGCTTGGGGGTTTTTTTTTGCGACTGTCCCTAGGTGCAAACAGTGCTCCAACACTCTACTCTCTGGGGCCTACAAAGCTGGGACAGAACCTGGGACTTACATCTGTACCAACCACCAGCAGCCACACAATCTCTGGAATTCTGGACCACACAGCATAGAGAACAAACCTGCCAGAACCTCCCCAGCCTCAGGAGATCCCCAGAAGGTGTTAGTGAAACCAAATCAGTTCAACAGAGACACCAGCTCCACCTCCAATCCTCCCAGTTCCACCAGGCTGTCTGGATCACATGCTGGAAGCAATTCCAGCTCCGGCTCCAAAAGCCTAATTGCTCCATGGTCACCATCAGCTGGGAATAAATCAGATCACCATGAAGGTCTCACTTCGCCTTCTTGGACAGCGTACGCAGCAAAAACGCAGCAAGCGCGAGAGAATTTCTTTCAGTCCGATACGGGTACGTCAGGGTCTGCGACTGGCAAATCACCAGCTACTAAAGATCAAGTCCTTCCTTCTCATCCCTCACAGGCAGCTAGTAAAACCACGTCCAGCCTACATATTTCCCAGGCAAACTCAGGTGGCAATGAGAAGGATAAAGCACGTCAGCATCTCACACAGGCTCTTCCTGGGTTAAATGCCTCTGCAAACAAGCTAGGAGGGGTCAGTTCGCATGGCTCCCTGCTGCCCAGCAGGTAAGAACCTCTGCCTTTCAATCATCTGTTCCTGCAAAAGGAAGGGAGGTCAGAAGAAGCAATGGGGATGGCTAGAGTCAGTCTCTTTCCAGCCTTTTTTCCCTAGACTCTGCTTTTGGGTGTGGGAGGAGGGGTAGGGGCATACAGGAGACCATCTATTGTTAAGACTCTCAGGGTATGTCTACACTAGCCCCCTAGTTCGAACTAGGGAGGCTAATGTAGGCATTCAAAGTTGCAAATCAAGCCCGGGATTTAAATATCCCGCGCTTGATTTGCATCTTCCCAGCCAGTCGCCATTTTTTTTTTTAAACTTACAAGTCCGGACTAACTGCCCACGTCTACACGCGGCAGGGACCCGGTAGTTCGAAATAAAGCCCTAGTTTGAACTACCTGTTATTCCTCCTGGAATAAGGTTTAACAGGGCAGATAGTCCAGACTTGTAAATTTCAAAAATGGCGACCTGCCAGGAAGATGCAAATCAAGTGTGGGATATTTAAATCCTGGGCTTGATTTGCAACTTCGAATGCCTACATTAGCCTCCCTAGTTCGAACTAGAGGGCTAGTGTAGACATACCCTTAGAGGGTCTTTGGAATGGAGGCCAATAAAGATGAGACTCATGAGACCAGGTGAGCTGAGTCTGACCAGGCCCCTGCTCTGTGCTCCTGGAAGGGTCAGGGCTTCAGGTAGAAGGGCTGGGGCAACCAGTTGTCAGCACCACTGGGACCACAACCCCCTCCTCTTAGCACTATCTAGAGCAGTGTTTCTTAAACTTTTTAAGACCCAGGAATACCAAACAATAATTTTTTTAATACGGAACACCAAGAATTTTTTGTTGAGCCAAAAAAAAAAAGGGTCGCCTGCCCCTTTAAGGGTGGCCATTTTGAACTCTGTTCTCCGTGGCACACCTCCGACTGCCTCACAGCACACAGACCGAATACAGTAAGGAACACTGGTCTAGAGTGCGCTGCCCAGGGCCCTTTGAATTTCCAGGCCCTGGAGCAATTGCCCCTCCTCCCCCCATTGACGGTCCTGCACAAGACTCTTCCTGTTCACTTTCACGGCTTTTCTCTCACTATCTCCCCTAGGCAGAGCCCCGATCACAAAACACAGGCCAATAAACCAGGTCATATAGAAAAACCAGGGCCTGCTGCATGGACACCGGTAACTATCCATGAACCTTCACCCAAACATCCAGGAAGCAAGTTAGGAATTTCGACTGTCACGCAGAACAGAGAGAAGGGCCCAACCATCCCCAGATCTGCCAGCACAGTGTGTAAACCTGACCCGAAGGATGCCAGAGGTGAGAGCGATGATTTTTTTATTATTATTATTATTTTAAAAACCCGGTTAACATGGTTCTGAGGGTTAGGTTAGAGTGTTACATGATGTCCTTCAAATTTTTACCTTTCACATTTCTGGCACCTTCAAAGCCCTGCTTTTTGAGATCTAAAAAATAAATGGCCAGCAAGCCTGGCATTTTCATCTGTACCAGTCGGTAACCCACACTAAAACTGTCCAATCTCTGGGGCAGAGAGCACAACATGGACTCATCAGTCCCAGGAGAACTGTAATTGTGATGTCCCTCCAGGGCAGGCCTGTGGAGAAGTCTGTCTCACTGAGGAGTCATGCCATGAAGTCTGGAGTGTCCCAGCTGCCCTACAACACTAGCTTGTGATTTTTGTCAGGTGTCACAAGTTAAGTGGACACTGGAGGCCTCCCAGGAACACTTGTAAAGATTCTGGGATCTAAAAGATGGCACCAACATAGAATCAGCAACTAAGCTTGGTGTCTTAAGCACAGTTCTTCTGCAGGCATCGTCCTCTGGATGAAACATGACATTAATAGCCTGACCCCTTATGATTATGTCTGTCTTTGGAAAAGTTAGCTGTCTTTTGATGCTCATGTCTTGGGTATCTGTGTGCTCCCTGCATCTGGTTTCTCTTGAAGTTTCAACTGTGAGACCATATTTTCCACATTCAGCTTTTAAGTAGTCATTGTTGCTGTAAGATGTTAAACAGCTCCCCCAGTTAATCTCCCATCTGGCTGAATTTCTGCATGGATGGGAGGTTTCTATATAGGTTTTGAAGTGCTTTGGGATCCTTTGAGGTTTTATATGTTGTACAGGTCATGTCTCATCCGAGGGGGAGGGAGAGAGAATGGGCAGCTGGAATTGAATGAAAAAGGAACAAGAGCATCAAGTTTAATCTCCATCTGTGTGGTCTTGTCCTGGGTTTATCACATCACAGTCACCAAATTAGGGGCTAGCATATCCTAAGAGCCACAAACAGCTTGAAATTCCCTTAGTCTGGGTTTGCAAAGGGAGGGATCCGGCTTGGAGCAGGTCAGCTGGCTGGGTCAAGTGTAGATTTCTTTACTTGCTGTTTCTATTCCAGCAGGAGGAGTGAATGCCACCAAAGAGAAGTTAGAGAGCCCAGAAGGTTGGCGATCCATGTTGAAGCCAGCAGCCAACAAGTGAGTGTCCCAGAGTTAGCAGCTGCCAGTGCTGAGCATATGCGAGCATGTGAACGTTTTAGCGCTGCCATGCAGTCGGAAGCTTGAATGTCTGAGACCTGAACTCTGACATGAAACACTTTCATTTTTAAACCCTGACTGTGACAGCGTGGGTTTTGCTGCTTGGCTTTTGGCTTTCTAAGGGCAGGGCTGAGAGGCAGGAGAACTCATTCCAACTTACTGCACCTGGAATGGGTGAATCTTTCGTCCGGCTGCTTTGAAAGTCCTGGGCCCTGTTTCTGGGGAAGATCACTGATGACGGAGTCAAGAGCTTCGCTGAGGTCCAACCCCCTGCATGTATATAACTTTCTAAGTTGTATCTTTTTCCCTGGCAGAGACTCCAACCAGGGCGGTCCTAAGAAACCTATGGACAGTGCCAAAGTGCCCAGCAACACAGCCCTGAACCCCACACAGGAGAAGTCACCTTCATCCATTGCCTTGCCAGCAAATAAGAACACTGGTAAGATGGCTTATAAGCTTACTAGGGAGGGAGCTTTGCTCACCATTTCTCCAGCTGCCCAGGAGCGTGGCATGCTAGGTTGGTGACAGCAAGAGTGCTGGATTCCAGAAATTCAATGGGGAGAATTCAAAACAGTGTTTCCCCTCCTCTACCTTAGGCTGGGTCCCCAAGGTGTCCCAGTCTTCACTTGGCAGGAGCAGCCTCACCTGTGGAAGACGAGCCAGTTCTCATGTAACCTCGCTCTCCCCTAGCTGGTGGGAGGCAAGACTTCTGCTGCTCTCTAGGTGTATAATTGGATGCCTGAGATAACTAGGCCACTCAGCCACTGGCGTCATCACGTCATCGTCCCAGGGCTTTTCTCAGGCTCAGGTCCAGGTGCAACTTTTTGCTGAGGGGGTTGGTTTTTCACTGTGTTCATGGGAGTTCTGCCCTTGGCTTTGGAATCACTTTCATGTTGGTGCTAAAGTCCTAGCTGCTCTGGCTGGCTACGGGGCTAGTACGGAGCTGGGGCATGGCAGCTGCTTCCGGTTAGTCTGCTGGTGCACTGAAGAAGACTCCCCCAGTGGTGCTGGCTTTCCCCTTTCCTCAAGAGACAGGATCTCTTGGTATTCCCTCTGCTGCGCTGTCACTCCCCTGCCTTCCCTATCTTGCTGACCAGGGGCTTGAAAATATGGAGGGGTGCATGGAACACATGAGACCAGGGAGCATGGACTCCCTAGAAATGTATGTACTTCTAAAAATCCACCAGTGGAGGGAAGATGGCTCCCAAAGTGCTACCCCGGTGCCTCGGCTGGAAATTGAAGCACAGGCACCGTTCTGTTGTCGCTGTGTGAGACCAGCACTTTTATGTATCCTCACAGTCAGCACAACAGAATAGGGCAGGGTGCCGCATACTGGCAGGACCTCCCACGGTTTGCTAATGGTTCGCTAGCCCATTCCCCACACCCTTGGCATGGACAGTTTTGACTTGTCACATTTCCCCTGGCAAAGCCTCATCCTAGTTTGTTCGTGATGGATTAGTTGCCATCTCATCTCATGCCCTCCCTTTGCACATGCCAAGGGATCTGGATTCTAGTCTGGCTGGGTTTTTATTTGGGGCGGGAGGGGTGCGGTGTTCAAATGTTGTCCACAAATGTGCCACGTTGTTTTTTGAAGTCTGTGGTGGGGTGGGATAGAAGAAGAAATGCCTGCTGCCCGTCACATTGTGGGTTTGTCTGCATTGCAGCTTGGGGAGAGAGAGCTTTGCCAGCTTTCATCTAGCTGGCAGGGCTTAAACGTAGGGATGTGAACAAAGAGAGGCAAACTTCAGTGCAGGCTGTCTGGACTGCTGGGGAGGTGCATGCACCCAGCCCCTGCTGGCATCCGGGACACTGCTCCTTCACTGCTAGTTTTAGCCATGCAAGCTCGACAAAAGCTAGCACAGGGTCCCAGCCAGAGCTTACTGCTGATTGCAGTGTGGCTATACCCTGTTTGTGAGAGACCTCACTGGGTCTGTGTGTGACAGAGAGAGACACACACACACGCACACACACCGCTCCCTCCAATCCGGGTATAATCCTGTCCTTTTAAACTTGTTTTCTATTTTCTCTTCATCCTTGAGTTCCCTTCTCTCTCTTCCTCCTCTGTGGTGTTTGGTTTTCTCCCCTTCTTTGGCTCCCCTGTTTCCTCAGAAGCAGCCTCCTTTCCACACCTGTTGGCACACAGGGGCATATCTGCCTGCTCTCAGCTATAGGCTGTTCTGCGCTACTCGGCGAGCATGGCAAGAGGTGGGCTTGGTTTGACGTGCTGGTAGGACCAATTTAAAGCTTTTCATTAAAAAAAAATCAGTGCAAATTTCGGTTAGTAATTGGCAGGGCTTTGGGCGTAGAAAATGTGAAATTTTGAAAATTGTCCACAGAAAAGAAAAATTGCTTGTAAAATCCCCAGGCCCCCTTTTTTGATTATTTTTTTATTAGGGGGTGAGTGTGCATTTGCATTGTTTCACCTGGAGTTGGCGGGTAGGTGGAGAAAGGAGAACTGGTTCTTGGGCGACATTCTCCGTTTCACAGCTTTCATAGTATGGCCTCCTCTTAGCTTGTTTTGGTGACTGCCTCTTGGGTAGACTGTCTAGCTCTCACTCTGCGTCCTTTCTCCAGCCAGTGTTCAGGGCTGGGATTCAAATGAATGAAAGTTGAGGTTTCAGGTGGGGTTTTTAGTAGGGATGTAAAAATTCTTTTGAAAATGTAACTGTGTAATTGTTAAAACTCCTAGCAATCCTAGTAGGCTCTGTACAATAAAGTTTAACTAAGCTTTATACTGCAAAGTCTCCCTGGTTGCAGGGCTGGCAGGAGCTGCTGCTCTTCCTCACTCCCAGGGAGTCAGCGTGTAACCCAGAAGTGGGCAATAATTTTTGGTGGGGGGCCATTACCTGCACTCTTCCAGGAGGGAGACTGAAGTCTGAGAGGGAGTTTGGGTGAAGGAGGCAGTTTTGACTTAGAGCAGGGGACTGGAGTGCAGGGGCTTGGGATGTGACCTAAAGTACGAGGGGATTGTGATCTTGGGCAGGAGATTGGGATGCCAGATCTGGGAGGGGGTATGGGTGCAAGAGGGGGGCAGAGGGTTGGGGAATGGAGCGGCTGGGGTGCCAGAGGCAGGCTCTGGCCAGGAGACTTACCAGCCAGCAGTCCAACCAGCCTGCCTGCCTGCAGAGCTTAAAACATTTCTCTCTCTGCCTGCCTGCCCTGCGCGGGCTGCACAGCCATGTGCATGTGTGGATAACTGAGCCGAGGAGAGGGGGCATGGTTCTTCTTGGTTGCCTGTTATTCAAACAGGCAGCTCCCATTGGCCAGTTTCTGGCTAGAAACCAGCCAATGGGATTGTGCTGGGGTGGGGGCAGCTCCTGAAGCTTCCCCCCCTCCAGTTTTGAAACAGAAATGAGGCCCAGCAGCCACGTTTCTGAGTGAGGTGTGAGGCAAGCAGGGGAGCTTGCCTGGGGCTCCCTACTGCCTCCACGGGCTGGATCCGGTGGCTTGGTGGGCCAGATGCAGCCTGTGGGTCATATTTTTCCCAGGCCTGGCGTAACCTTTTGTGGGGGGAGTTGGGCCAGGCCCACCACAGACAGGAGCTGCTCTGGCAGGCCCTATAGGGCTAGAGCAGCCCCCTGCTGGGTACAGTGGGAAGCTGTTCCATCCCCTACTGGTTGACCATTTACATCCCTAGTTTTTAGGGCTCAACGTTTTTGGAGGATGGGAAGTGGTGGTGAGATAAGTTGGGGTTTAACTATAATCTCTCATGACTGTCAAGGAACAGCCCTCCAGGACCTAATTCAAGTACCCCAGCGGGTTTGGCATTCATGGCTTTGCGGTCTGGTGACTGGTTGACATGCCCATCCGTGTAGCATCTGGCGCGGGGCCATTATTCCAAAGCCAAGCCTGGGTGTGCAGAGCTGACGCTGCCTCGTGGGGATCCTGCTAATGAAAAGAAAAGGTCAACGTGTATGTAGCGCTGTAGGTTTGCTGTTGCTCTGAGGTGGCATTAGAGTGAAGGTGCCAGTAGGGTTTAGTTTGAGTTTAGAGATGGTAATTGAAGGTGACTGGCTAGTCTTGCTGGTTGAGGGTTGAAGCCTGGTGCCTTTCACCCCCAGAACCGTGTCTGTGCTCTTTAATTTAGCTCCATCTGCTGCGCTGCCTCAAAAGAAGAAACTGATCCCTAACAAGAGTCTTAGCAGTGACTGGAGAAAATGTGGAGAGGAGGAGTCAGGCCCGACAAACCAGGTGTCTGCTCCAGGTAAGAGCCTTTCTTTTACATCTCTAGAAAACAGTTTTCTCCTCTGAGCATGCCCAGGGCTGTCTGTCAGCCGTGCTTGCAGGTGAGAGACGAATTCTTTGCTGTACCCAGAGATCTCTGCTCTCAAGCCTGTCTCCACAGCCTTGTCTTCACTAGGGAAAAAGCTGTGTGTCTGACATGCTAGCTAGCTTGTGCTCCCTAAGCCAGTCAAATCCTTTAGCACGTAGTAGCTGGTTGAGGTAAAACCCCAGTTCAGGTTTGACCTCTCTGGCTGTCATGCATTAAAACTGTAACCGCCCTGTTTTTTATTAGGATTTTAACGCGTCAGCTCTTTGAACACACTGATTTTGTCCAGTGTAGACGGGAGCCCACCTATTTTAGCTTTTCTTAGCCATTGCTCCCACTTTCCTAACCCATTCCCCTCATTTACCTATGCAACACATTTCAGTCACAGAGGCTGACACTAGAAAGGACCATCAGAGCATCTAGTTTAACCTCCACATCACAATCCACTAACGCCCACCCTTTTACTCTGGTTTGGAGCCCAGTAACCCCTGGCTGCTTCCTCAGGAAGTGGCCTTTCTGAGCTTGCACGGACACCCAGGATGAAGAGCTGCCTTTTAGTAGCTTCCTGACTAGTCTCAGGACTGGCCCTGCATAGGCCAAGCAACATGATATTCTTTCAAAACGGCCAATGGCATTTTCCTCTGCACCACTTGTCACGCTCCTTTTCCATTGTTCTGAGCTATGAATTAGGGAAGAGGTTCAAGCCCCCTTGCTAGAGGCTAGAAAAAGGGTCCCTTTAGAGCTTCCGAATCGCTCAGTACGGAGAGAGAGCTGACTGGTTACAAGTGCTAACTTTATTATCCCTTCACTAACCTTGTATGTCTCTCCCATTTTCATAGGTGCCCATTCTGTGGTTGGTACTAGATAATACCAGCTCCTTTGTTGTAGGCAATGTTTTCCCTAATAATTAGAGCCAGGGGCGAAGAGTCCGAATTCCCGGGCTCTCGTTCCTGCGTTGCCACTAACTCTCTGTGGGCCATCATTTAACTTCCCCTGCCTCAGTTTCCCTGTCCGTGACATGGACATAAACCTTGCATCATAGATTGTGCCCCTGAATGAATGTGCTTTGGGATCCTGGGGAGGAAGATTACCTTAAGCATGCGGTAGGATTAGCAAGCCAAGCTAACCGGGTGCTGTGTCTCCCTGTGACCTGCAGCAGGCTCCAAGCTCTGCCCCTCAACGGGAGGCGCTGCAGAGGCTGCACAAAGGGAGCACCTGGGTGCAGGGGCTCTTTGGGAGATGGCTTTCTCACTAAGCTAGCTCACCTCATTTGTGGAGGGCCACTGTCAGGCTGGACATTCCTCACAGCAGGAACCTTCCTATAGGGCTACGTCTGAGGCAGCGCAGAGGGGGAGGCAGCCCGATACAAGGCTGCGTCAGAGTGCCGTTCAGTAGTTTAGCAGAGATAGCAGAGGGTCAGTCACTGCTTTCTTCCGAAGAAGCAGTAAAGCCAGGAAACTCTCTGAGCTGAGGATCGGGCTGTGCTGAGAGCTGCCCATGAGCTCCTTCCTAGCTTTGTGGTCTCAGGCCTGTGTGTTTGGTACTCCAGTAAAAGGCTCTGTGGCTGCCAGCAGCTCTTAGGTACTCCTCCTCCCCCTCAGTGTTTTCTGTAAGCTGGGCACTTGTGCAGCTACTCTGGTGAGATTCAAATGCCACCCAGCTGGTTAGCAGAGTGCCCACAGCTAGGTGTTCTGTTTCTGCTTGTGGTGCACATTCACACTTGCCTTGGTGCACATAACAAAATTTATTCTGCACACGAATGGGGGAAAAATCCTCATGTAAATGGAAGAGCTCAGAGGGAATATTGATGGCCCCCTCCCCAAACTATTTTATTGTTCCTGCTGTATTTGCACTCTCCCCTGACTCCTGGGCATGGTGTTTTTTATAGGTCACTCTGCCTTTCTAGCACCATGGCCCTCTTGTGCATGCACTGTCTGGTTTGGTATTTATATGTCACCTAGCACCACAGAGTGCCTCACCATTGTCAGTGGATTTATCTTGTGAGGTATTATCCCCAGTTGACAAATGGGAAACTGAGGCACAGAGAGACAAGAGCAAACCCTATTGGGGATGAGTGTCAGAGCTGGGTCTAGAGACACAGACTTGTGCTAGAGCTGTGTGAGTGGTCAGGCTCTGGCTGTGGGATGGGATACACAACCATGCTTGAAGGTCTACACAGGTATTGTTAGCACTATAGTGTGAGCCGAGTCTGTAGATCCTGGCTGCTGGAGGGATCTTGCTGGGGAAACAAACCCAAATGACTTGTCCAGGGTCATGCAGGGAATGGTACACAGGTCTCCTGAGTAGCACGTTAGTGCCCTAACCACTGGGTCATCTCTGCCCTCCCAGTCTCTGGGCATCTTCTAAGTGCATGTGCTCATCTGGGTTTTGTTTCCTTTGTTCAATGCCAGTAAGTTGGTTAAAGTGACACTTGCGTGACAGAGATCTCCCATAGCGAGAGCCCAGCTCTTAAGGGGCTGATGTTAACTCTTTGTCACTATAAATAGTCTGGGGACTTTTCAAGGCTGAGGGAAAATTTTTGTTTAGGGCTGACTTTGGCGCCTTTGCCACCACGGTGCTTTCATAAACTTCTGGATCAGGGCTCTCCTGGTCCCTTTGCAGCCAGCCCAGGTTGATTGGGTGTCTAGTGGCTCCCGAGGGAGTGTGCTGCAGTGGAGGAGGAGTTGACAGGCCAGTGAATTAGTAGAGGGCTTGTGGATTCCTGCGTAGAGAAAGGAATGACCCCAGCAGAGTCTGGACAGTAGTAAGAGGCGGCTTCCGCACGGTCCTGGCTGAAGTGTGTGTGTCGTCGCTGCCCTCTTTTGGATGGAACGGGATCTGCTCTAGTCTCAGATCCACAGCTGTTTGCAGCATTGCTGTGCTGGTCCCAGGATAAGCAGAGCCCCGCGCAGATACAAAATTTGTATCCGCAGCCGCATCCATACCTGCAAAAATGAGGGGGAGATATTCTCATCCCCATGCGTGGCTATAAAGTGGATTTGCAGGGCTCTAAGGATGAGACACAAGGAGGGTGAGTTAATTTCATTTATGGGACAGACCGAAGTGAGTCCAATGAAAGTTATTACTTCTCCTACCTTGTCTTTCTCTAATCCCCTAGTAGTTACTCTGCAGAGGTGATATCCTGGGTGATCTTTTTTTTTTAATTTCTAGGTAAACCACTGGCTCCAAAAATCTTCCAGCGCCCTGTGAGCAATGAAGTGGCATCCCCGAGCAAGGTATGGCTGGCGATGGGAGAGGCAAAGCAAGGCGGTCATGAAGACTTTCCCCAGAGACAGCCCCGTATGGCTCAGTTCAGTCTGGGGCACCCTGCTCCTCTCTGCTGACACGACCTCCGTGCCTCCGCTGCAGGGGGTTAATGTGAAACCTCAGAAAAGGGGAGCAGAGGGAATTGGGGGGAAGAAGCAGGATTCTCTCTAAACAGCAGGAGGGTGGTGGCTGCAATATAGGACATGGCCATGAAGCGAGTGGTGTAATTCACCTCAGCTGAGAGGGACTCCTCTTGGCAGCAGCCAGGTGCTTGCTTCAGTGCCCTGATACGGCTGAGACCTTCCAGCACAGGCCGGAGGTGAAAGTAAGCGGGTGCATCCTGGTGCTCCGGCAAACGCTGGCTGAGCTGTGGCAAAAGCCAGCAGGGAGCTATTTAAAAGCCGGCAGAGAGCTGGGTAGCAATGGGACAGTGCCTGTAAGAAATGTTAGGCTGCTGGCACAGGCTGTGTTACGGATGAGGCGGGAGGGCTGCACCAGGACTGGCAGATGTTGCTGCTGTGCCGTGGAATGCTGTGACGACTTCCTAGCATGGCTCATTCTGTTGTGAATTCCCAGCTCCCCATCTTCTCTGGGTTTGGTGCCTCCACGATGTGGCCCCAGGGGGAGATGGTCCATTCCAGCCGGTCTCCTTTTGTTGCTCCACCCAGGGTGTCAGGGCGGGTATGTGAGAAGCAGGTCGTAACTCCTCTGTGACTTTGTCCCTTAGCTCCAGCCAGACTACATCCCTGAGGAAGAAATCCAGGAGAAGGTGCGAGAGATCGAAAAGCAGCTGGATGAGCTGGAGCTCAAAGGAGTTGATCTGGAGAAGCATCTGCGTGACTGTGAGGGAGGTAAGGGAGGCCAGAAAGATCCTCTCAACTAGAGTCGGGAAGGATGAGTCTCGAATCCCATGGTCAGTGTCCCATCTACAGGGCGTGGTGGCTTTGATCCTAGCAGCTCACGTAGTGTGTAGGGTCTAGGGATGTGAATGGGTAACCAGTTAACTAGTAACCCATGGTGGCTGGAGCAGCTCCCTGCCTGCCATGGGCAGGGGGCTGTGCCTGCCCTGTGGGGGGCTTGTTGCGGACAGAGCCTGTTCTCCTCCGCAGCAGTGCAGGGCTGGGCACCAGCAAAGCCAGTGCCAAGGCAGGATTGGGGGTGGGAGCCCCATGGGTTGGGAGCTGCTCTATTGGGATCCCGCTTTAGTCAGTTAACCTCATGTTTAACTGGACGTTTAACCAGTTAACTGATTAACTGGGATTGTACATCCCTAGTAGGGTCCCTGAGCTGGCGTACACGTGAGGCCTGATAAAACGTGGTGGAGAACTTCCAGCTGGCTCTGTCCATTTCCTGATGTGCTCTTCCAGGAACTTGCTGCTCTATTGCCAAGTGGCGGCGGGTCAGGGAAGTTCAGGAACTGAAAGGCTGCAGCTGACCTGCCTGAGGGAATTCAGGTCATGGACTTTGTCACCAGGGACAGTCTTGGGCAAAATACTCAATAATCTTGTTCAGGTTGGCACAGGTTGGCAGATTGCATGGAAGGTGAGGTGGGCAGCCTATGAGAAGAGAAGTCCTTGGCCAGTTTACTTGTATCTGCCCCTGATGCTCATCGTCCGTACCCTGCGTAGTAGCGAGCTACCTGTGATGGGAGGGATACCAAGCTTGTACCTGTGACTAGTGTAGGTTATCCTGAGCTGTCCTAGCTGGGCAGCCGCTGCTGGCTCTTGTAATCGTGGTGCATTGGGAATGGACGTATTGTTTGTCTTGTCTGCAGATGACTCAGAGGATGCTCTCATGGTGGATTGGTTCAAACTGATCCACGAGAAACAGCTGCTGCTGAGACTGGAGTCAGAGCTGATGTACAAGTGAGTGCCTGGCAGCCTCCCCTGCCCACAGACAGTGAGCTGACCCCAGCAGTGTGGGGGTTGGAGAAGGGGTGTCAGACTGACAGGTGGGGAGGTGCAAGCAAGGCTGGGGGGTATTTGCTTCTACTATGGTGATGTGACCTCAGCTGTCAGAACCATGCTGGGGTGCTGAGAGGCAGGGGTCCCTCACAAGTGGCAAAGGTTGATGGCCCCCTCTAGCCCCACATCTGGGTGTGAGGAGACAGAGTGATAGGGGGCAGCCCAGGACTCCCTCTTGTCCTGCCTGGGTCCTCTCCTGAGTCCTGCCAGGGAGTTCGGAGAGCAGCTTCCCACCCCCAGCTCCAAAGTGACCTGTGCGGGCCCTGCTTTGGGATGAGGCGGGGGAATCACCTATTGCCCGTCTGGCATCCCGCAGATCGAAACAGCAGAAGCTGGAGGAGAAGCAGTGGAATATCGAGAGTGAGTTGCGGCACCTAATGAGCAAACCAGGTAAGTGAGGCAGTCGGCTGCCATCCTCCAAGGGAGGTGCTCTGACCCGGCCCTGTCTCTGCAGAGTCCTTGTCTCTGCATCTTGCTGGGATTCTCCTCTGCAGAAGGCTCACCTGGTCTCCGGTCCACCTAACCCAGACCAGGGAGAGAGCAGTGGTGGGCGGGGGAGGTTTATGAGGAGAGGCAGGGTGTCTGGCACCACAAACATGTCAGCAGTGTAGCACAGTGTTGCTGTGACCGGTTCTTCTTGTGCTGCACAGACGAGCAGAAGACGCGCATGGAGAGGATGCGGGAGCAGGAGCTGCTGGACTCATACGTGAACATAGTCAATGACCGAAACGATATCGTGGAATGCCTGGATGAGGACAGACTCAGGTACAGGACCTGGGGCGGAGGGGAGGCGAGACGGAGTCTGCTTGTATCCCACCGCTCTCCATTCCCTGCCAAACAGGGTCTGAAGGTTAAAAAGTTCATGTTGGGATTGAGGCTGCAAGGACCGAGGAAGAGCATCTGCCTGGAGCTTTCTGAGAACCCCTCTTGTAAGGGGGTGATGGAGGTTGGGTCATGGGCAGACACTAGAGCTGAGGGAAGCCCCGCGCTGTGCAGAAGAGCTGCCCTGTGTAGGCCTTACCGCCTGCACCCCACTCCCCGTGGCTGGTGGTTGGCTGTGAAACACTCACATGCTGCTCGGCTGCGCGGGGAAGAGCTGCAAGATCAATTTGGTGCTTGTCTTACTCCTTGTTCCTGTGTAGACTCCTTTGGCAGCCACCTCTCCTGCTGCCCTAGACCTATGCTCCACACGCTCTGACTAAAGGCGGCCTTCCCTAGCCTGGCCAAGCCCCCCACCCCACCCTAGCGTGTGTTATCAGCTTCATCGGCCACCCAGAGTGCGCAGACACACTGGGGCCTGGGCAGTTACAGAACTGCCCATTTCTGTCTACTCGCGGCTGCCTGTGGGGCCGGGTGGCAGTGCTGAGGGCACCCGGGGGGTGGAGCATGCGAGAGCAAGCAATGCCACTGTGCCCCTCCGCTGAGGGCATCGCCCCCGGCCTACAGCGACTGGGCAGAGCCGAGGAGCAGCCCTCGGTGGCTTGCTGTGCAGTTTCCCCTGTCCTGCTGGGAGCGCGGGGTACTGGCTCACTGCATTCCTGGGAGCGTGGGGTACTGGCTCACTGCATTCCTGGGGCCTGACTCTAACACGGTCCTCTCCCTTCCCAGGGAGCTAGAGGAGGATCAGGTGCTGGCAGACATGATCCAGAAGCTGGGTAAGGACTGTCTGTTGTAGCGGACACGGGCTGCTGCGGTAAGGACAAGGGCGCTCATGCTCTGTGCTCTCTCCTCACCCGCAGATGCGTCCCACGAGAGCCAGGCCCCCAACAAGATGAAGAACAAGTTCCGCTGGTCCAAGATCTGGAAGCAGAAAAGCAAGAAGAAAGCTCAGCAGTGAGGTTCCCTGCATGGCAGCGTGAAGGGCCACAGACTCCAGGAAACATTCCCTCTCCAGCCCTGCTGCTCTGGAGTCAGCCAGAGCTGCTCTGCCATGAGACGGGGACTCAGGCATGAGGACTGTGGGGGGTAGTGTGACTTCTCCCTCCTCTCAGAAGCGGGAGATAGGGGGCTCCAGGTGCTATTCCCCTCCCCTTCCTTCAGCTGAGTGAGAGCTACAGCCACTGCCAGAGCCAGGGACTTGGGAACTCATTGAGCCAGCACGCCGCTGGTTTGCTCGCTGTCAGCTAGCACGTTGACTCTCTGCTCACACCCGTTCTGATGTTCATCAGCACAACTACGCGAGCCCTCGAGGTACCACGGAGCCCTCCTGCCCAGGATGGGTACGTGCTGGGGAGCGGCTCCTCAGCCTTCCTCCCGGCACACACTTGCTCTGCGAACATTCGGAAGCTCGTTGGCTGCGTTGCAGGACAGCACCTGCTGTTGGCCTGTCTCGGCTGACGCAGGCTCGTGGGCTGTAGGACACCAGTGTAGATGTTCAGGCTGGAGCCCGGGCTCTGAGACCCCCTGATGTGGGGCAAGGATCCCAAAGCTCCGACTCCAGCCGGAACGTGAGCGGCAATGCTGCGATTTTATAGCCCTGCAATCCCGAGTCAGCTACCGCAGCCCAAGGGGGGGGTGTCTTCTTGCAGTGCAGCCCTACCCCGAAAGGCTGCATGGCCGGGAGTCGCTGTGGGCACCTGGGGCAGAGGAACACCCCGCATGCTCTCCACAGGCCCCAGCACAGGGAAGGGAGGGCGGGCACGGAGATGGGCATCTGGCTCGCGTGAGGAGGTGAGGGGCGGAAAGGACCTGGCTGGACTTAGAGGAGAGAGGCTGCTGCAGGGACCTGGAGCAGCCCTTTAGCTTTCCAAACCACAGGCCCGGTGTGTCTGGGCCAGGCATCCCCATGACATGACACTCCCTGCCCCTCTCTGCAGGGCTGTCCTGGGGAGTGCCTGGGAAGTGGGACCCTCGCTGCCTATAGCCCGTCACTCTGAAGGGGGCGGCAGAACCTCTTCTAATGAGCCGGTAACTCAGGAGCCCAAGGGGGCGGTGGGCATGAGCCTGTCCACCCCTCCCCCAGCCACAGTGGGCTAAACAGTTGTCTAGGGAGACTCCTTTAAGGGTAAACCAGCTATCCCAGGGAGTTGCGTTCCGGCTGGGAAGGGGAGGCAGCGGGTGCAGGGGAAATTCTTTACTGGGCTGAAGGAGTCTCAAGTCAACGCCTCTCTCCCCGTCCCTCCTCTGGGTACAAGCAGAAAAGGACCGTAGCTGTGCATCCGATCTGACCGGTAGACACTCGGTCTTCAGCACGGCCGCAGCAATGAGCACGAAGACTGGGAGGAGGGCTTACAAATCTTACTAGATCCGCTGCAGCACTTGCAAGCTGTGGAATCTCCCTGCGGTTGTTCCCTGGCTCCGATACCATGCATCTCCTTAGCATCTGCTCTGCTGGGAGAGAAACTCTGTGTCTCTCCTGGGAAGTAGGTGGTCACACGGTGGGAAAAGTTTGCAGTCTGTGCCTCCCGGAAGTATGTTGGTGTCATGCTCTCCTCCTCCGCCAGGTGGCATTATGGTTCTCTGACCAAGTTACTTTGCCCAGGGCAGCGAACAGCTGATTTGCTCAGGAAGCCTGTGCAGCCCTTTTTCGGTACAGTGTGTGTTGTGTGTCTACAGTCAGTGGGGCCTCTGGGGATTTGCTTTGTATTGGTCTGTTTCTGTTCAATAAATAATAAAACTTAGAGGAAACGTGGAGACCCGTGTGACGTGACTCTGCTGGTGGAGTTGCTGGACGTGGGATCATCTGCAAGGGCTGGCCAGTCTGTGAGGAGTGAACTTGGCTCTCCTGCCAGCTGCCAGGCTGGGGGAACAGTGCGCTGGCGGGGGATTGAGAAGGGACAGCTAGACCCTGCCTCTGGTGTTTCTTTTTTGTGCAGAGAGGGTTCCCTCCTCCTAGCAGAGTGGTGGGCACTTTTCACAGGCAGTAGGGTAAGTTTAAACAGGCAGGGAGGACTGGAGAAGAGCTGTTTGCCTCTGTGGAGCTAAAGCAATCGTCTGAAATTCACACTGATCTTCAAAACAAGTTAGCACGAAGGGGTTACTTGGGAGACTTCCCTCTTCAGGAATCACTTAGTGAATTTGTAACTCATCCAAGGCGACCTTTGTTCTAGCTCCTCTCTTTAGCGTTGTTTTGCTAACTATACCTGCTCTTTACTACAGTGGGCTCAACATGTGTCTGCAGCCTTCATTGCTGACTGACTGCATTTACACATCACAAGCTCCCTCTTCTCCACCCCAGACTGAAAGCTGCACCTGCTCTCTTGCTGCTTCTCCCATTGTCTCCACACCCAAGTTCTGGGAAGTTGGTGCTTTTGGCTGATGGATCCAATTTTGCCTCGTGCTCCAGCTCGTTGCACCAGGGATGTGTTGTGTCTGCTGGAAGCCCGGTAGCCAAACAATTGTTTCATCAAACAAAGCAGATCTGGTAATTGCAGCCCTGAAGGCCCATTTCTAGCCATGGTTCTTGCCCGACAGCCCACGCCTCCAGAGAAGCAGAGAAAGGAGATGGATCTGCTGGGTTAGCTCACCACAGGGCCTTGAAGGGTAAGCCTAGAGAAGTCCCGTAATTCTCTTTTTCTGGAGAATGGAAGTTGCCTGCGTGTGTATTAATAGTTGTTAAATATTAAGGTGGATGGCTAGTCCTTGGGTTAGGGGCAGCTCTAGGGGGACTTAATGGCACAAGACTTCCAACAGCCTGCCCACGGGTGTGACTGTCCCATACCCACATACGATCCGTGGTTCAGGTTATGGCTCTGACCCAACAAAGCACTTTACAAGGGTGAGCAGCACCAGCGTTAATAGTCCCCACGTAAAAGTAAGTGTCGGCCGAAGTCTTTGTAGGCTTGAGGCCTGTGCAAGCCATAGAAAGAGTTTGAGGGACAAGGTGGGAGAGGTAAAATCTTGGATTGGATTGGCTTCTGTGGCTGAGAGACTAATTTCATTCACACCTAGCTGTACTGGAGGATAGAAATACTCCAGCTGCTGGCAGGGTTCACCTCCTTAACTTCTACTGAGCCATGCCCCATGGTCACCTGCAAATCATCAATGAAAGACAGAAATCATCGGACCAGCTACAGCCCTGGAAAAGTTTGAACCCCCTGAAGGGGTTTGCCTGTGAGGCTATTACAAGAGCCCTCTCTCCTGGGAAGAGGAGAGGGCACACAGGCAGAATCCCACATCCATCCTCCTTTCTGACCATGACTAGCCTGCAGCATTTGGGGCCTCTGTGAGTGTTGCAATTTCACAGCTCTCGCCCCCGGCTCCAGTCCATTCATAAATATGGCAGGCTGGGAATTTGTCGTCCGCCTGGGTTCCAGTGGGACTTAGGCACCCCTTCCTCCTCTCCCCCTTGGCGATTCCCTGCTTTAGCCAACACCTGCTGTGGCATGGACCTGCTGTGGCACGGGTTGCTGTTAATTATCTGCAATGCTGGAAAACAGTAGCACTCCTGCCCTGTGAGAAACAGCTTAAGTAGATGCCTCCCACCCAGATCATTACAGAAAGAGGGTGATGCTGCTGCTCCTACCGTTATTTTATATGATATTGTATCACACACAGCCCTGGGCAGAAGCTCTCCAGGTGCTTGTGTTGGGAGCCCAGCATGGGTGCTTTGAATCTGGAGAGCAGGGTGGGGAAAAAGCAGCCTGCAGACCAGATGCAGTTTGCGAGAGTTAGCTCCTGGCAGGCCACAGCAGAGCCACGTCTGCAGGTACATCTGCTGGAAGCAGTAGCCTGGTGCTTCCCGAAGTTCCCATTGACCACGGATCACCATTTTCAGCCAATGGGAGCTTTGGGAAGCCCAGTCTGTGGTGGTATTTGCGAATCGTGGCCAATGGGAGCTGTGAGTGGCTCAGCTAAATAAAACATCCGGTGGCCTGCCAGGCACTAACTGGTGAACTTTTCCAGCCCACAGGCCACTTATTACCCACTTCTCAACAGTGTCCAAGCACTGCCCAGGCAAGGGGTGTCTCAGCAGACTTCGGAGTGTAGATCCTTTATCCAGCACCCCCTCCTTAGAGCTGCCACCCTGTGGCCCATCTCCTGACCCCTCCGGTTCCCTTGTAGCCAAAAGAGCTCTCTGTGCTTACAGGTCACTGCTTCGAGGGAAGTGATAATGAAGCAAATAGCAACTTTGCACAGGATTCTAAGCCCAGGCACATTTTCCTGACTACCAGAAATACATAGAACAAGACAAAATAATGCACCTGTGCACATTTCTGAGCTGCAATTTCTTCACCACTCTTTTTTGTGGTTAGAGTTTTCCGATGAGTCCAGGTCCCCCTCCCCACCCTGCACATGGCTTCTCCGCCAGCATCATGGAGTGTGTCTCTCACTCTGACCTGTCCAGTCAGAGGCGGCCCCTTTGCCTCTCCTGCCCGAGGTTGCCGGGCCTGAGTACTGTCTCAGAGCAGGGGCAGGATTCCAGACACGATGTGCCATTGGTCCGGCAAATGCTACCTGCGGGATTCTAGCACCCAATGTTCTCACAGGGGTCCTACTCTGTACACACCACTACAGAGCCGTAATGTGCCAGCTGGATGCTCTAGGGCAAGGCCAACGAGGGCAGGGGACAATGGACCATCCTTTCTGTGTTTCTCTGAAGCACAGCCTGGCAGGAGGGGCGCACAGAACTCCCCTTTACCCAGTGGCAGTTACAGAAGCAAGTGCTGAGCCCATCTGGATGGGATTCCAGATCATCGAATAGTTGATCCCAAAGCTAGTTTCTGTAGGACTGCTGGCACAGATCCAGTCCGCCCTGTTGGCTTTCTCTGAGGCTAGAGATGGGGCAACAGCTGGAGTGTTTGGCTGGCTGAAATGCAGCTCTCTGCTACCATTATCCTAGGCTGTTCTTCCCCTGACAAATCCCACATGATGGACATGACTAATCTCCAGACTCAGGGATTTTGTTTCAGCTCCTAAATCTGTTGCCAGCGCAGGCTGTGGTATCACCTCTGGAGAACCTGGCTCTCGTGCCAGCATGCGCTTGTGTGACTGGTGCCAGTGCTCCTAGTCATGTGGCCTCTGCAGCGTTGGGAACTAGACTGCAGGGATGAAGTCTGTCATTCAAGACCTGGGATGGGTGTGCTTGGGGAATATAAACCCCTGGGGCCTGCTCCCAGAGCAATAAACGCTGTGTTCAGAGGGACCCAGGCAACTGGATAAAAGACATGATGGTGTAATGCTGCAGAAGTGCTATACCCACAGTAGAAATCCTAGAGTGAGATCCCTCTTGTGTGTGAACAGCTCCTCCACTGGGCGTGGACGTTCTTTGCTTTCCGGGCTGTAGATGCAAGCTGTAATGGTGTAGCCCAAGCCTGGTGTGCTTCAGGAGCAGCCCTGGGAAGTACACTTTGTGGGCTACAAACTGTGGCACATTGGGAGAACTTTCTGGTTCCTGCCAGGGTCTCAGTACTGACTGAGCTGGGAGCATGCAGGCTGACGGCAGAGAGGAGAGACTGCTGAACTGGAATCCTGTTGTGTTTTCTTCACAGGTAGGGTCAAAAAGGACTGATAGAGCCCCCCCGAGAGGTGTTTAAGGGATACAAAGGGAGCTCGTGGGCTTGTTTGTTGTGGGGCTTAGTTGTTGTGGGAGTTAGAACAAGTTCTAAGGGGGGTTGTGTTGTACAATGAACACTCTGCTCTCCCAGCAGGGTCTCAGCAAGGACTGAGCTGGGAACACACAGGCTGCGGGCAGAGAGAAGGCTGCTGGAGCAGGTCTGGTGTGAGGTGCGCACACGCTGACACACCATGCAGTGCACACAAAGGAGCCTAGTCTCCTAGAGTTGTGTCACAAGGCTTCCCCTCTGCTGAATAGCCTCATACTGGGCTAGTGAGCAGGAGGGGCTACAATGACGAAGGGTGGGGGAGGAGTATGGCGTTTCTCCTTCATGGATGCCCATGGCGCTGCCTGACCTACCTGCATTTGTCAGGGAGCTACCATGGGTGGTTTTAAAGGACAGTGGGGGAGACCCAGTTACCAGCCGTTGCGCTGATTCCACAGAGATTTTGCATGTTTTTCTTTCTAGCCCCTGCACTGCCTCCTGGCGTTCCATGATGCACAGGTGTACGTAGGAGCCAGGCACTAGTCTGTGTGCAGCACAAAGCCAGGTGCTGTCCCATCTGGTCCATATCAGGCATGCTTCTGCTGTGCTAGGGCTACCTTTATATCAGCCAAAGGTGAGTGGGAAACGCTGCCTGTGTTTGAAGTAGTGATTCAGACTCATGTGGTTCAGCTATGGCTGATCCCCTCGCAGGCTAGGTCCTGCTAACATGCTGTCCTGCATTTTTACATTTTAAAAACAAGCGTGTGGCAGACTGATTCCTCTTTCTGCCTTGCAGGTCCTGTGTTCTGGGATTTGCAGGCCCCCTGCTCTGATTAACCAAGGGCTGAGCTCCAGCCCAAGGAAAACCTCGGGAAGGGGGGGATCGGGGAAAGACAGCTTTATTCGAAGCTTCTGCTGAGAAAATCCCCAGGGGTGAACCCCTTTCTGATAGGAACGGTTCTACTGTCTGCCCTAGAACTCAGCAGCATGTGGCCTCAGGTCTGCTGGGGCGAGGGAGGGGAGGGGGACTCCGACTCTCCCGCGAGTCCCTCCCCCACAGCTATCTTCCCCTAAATAATTATGCAACCCAGCCTCCCCTCCTATAATCTGCTGTGAAGCAAGTTACCCGTTAGTTCTCCCTTGTGAATCATT